AGATACCTGCTCCTTTTATTGGATATCAATAAGACGAAGGTGTCAAACATGAGTGAAGGCGGCCATACGCACTATTAATTTTGTAATCGCCTTCCAAGTACCAGTGTCTTTCTAACGTCCAACAAATGATGATCTTTGACGTAAACACAAAACAATTCCGCATTTGTGTATTCAAAACATTTTTTTTTAATTTTGTACTTTAAATAATGCTTTACGTAACGCACAGTTTCTTTTTCTGCTGGCATATAATGAACAGGTCCAGGCTTTTTGTTATCGCTGGCAGCTGCTTCTTCATTTACGCGAAACAGAACTCGTAAAGTTGCTTATACAAAAATAATACATAGATTTACTTTTAAAACTTGTCATTCGTCATTTGCAAAAATTTTAAAAAAACATTCTGACTGTACACAAATTCTCTGAATTTGACATTAAAAAGTACTTGATTTTCTAATTGACAATATCCATGTGCCTTTTGAAGACCAGGTCTTCCAACAATCTATAGAACTTCCCATGGGTACCAATTTCGCCCCGTTATAAGCAGAACTATTTTTGTATTCATATGAAACAGAATTATTCAAAATTTTATACGTGAAAAAAAAAGAAAACACTCGCTGTGGCCTTCAACTGGACGTATAGATATTTCGACGACATCTTTTCAATTTAAAACAATAGTTATCTCCATTCTTATGCCGAGACGATATATCCCTGTGTGTTTTAGATAAAAGATACCACAAAATCTGACACATCTGTTTCATATCTGGATATTTTAGACGTTAATGGTCATATAACAACCAAGTCTATAGTGACTTAAATTTTTCAATTGACAAGTTTCCTTACTGATGTAGCAATATACCTTAATCACCTGCATATGTGGTTCATATATTTCAGTTCATTCGAAAAGCATAAGCATGCTCTACTGCATGCACAGTTTTAAAACGAAGTAAATTACCGACGAACAAGTTGGTCAAACAAGAATTCCAGAAGTTTCGTTTAAAGTTATTACTGTAGTTCTTAAATTCTATGGTCGAGCCAATGACCATTTCAGCAAATACAATTTATCAGTCAATCAAATGATGACTGAGGTTTTCCATACTTATTGTTAGGCCATTATTTACACACTGAATTGACGACCGATTTTCCTTAATTTCCCGATCATAACAAGATTCACACGACGGGTGTGACCAGTCGGCAAGGGGGGCTCATTCCTCCCTGCCACCTATGATGTTTTGGAGGTCCCTGTTTGCTCCTTTTTTGCATTATTTTATGGAGTTTGAGCTTGAATACTCTACGACCTTACATCCATATATTTCATTTATCCTTCTTACACCTTAATTCTAACCCCGTAATTTGGTTTACTTTGTGACTTAAAAAGGAAAGTTCAATTATTTTGCTTAACTAGTTGGTTTCCATTAATTTATCCTTTCCATCGCTCCTATTTCTCCTATTTTTAATGGATATCTTGAGTTATGTCAAAGACACGATGTAGTTACGATATCGACACATTACTTTTTTATAGTTTACTTTAATATTTCTCCATCTTTGTGTGTTTATTACAATACTTTCTGTTTTAAGAAGTCTTCCTTACTGTCAATATCCACGATATCGTGCCGATATCGAATCATGATTGTTCAAAGAATTATGGTTTCCATCTACAATACTAGTATTGTTACTTGAAAACTATCTTTTATAAAACTTTCCCTGTAGTGTCGATATCGACGATGTCGCTTCGATATCGAATCATGTTTGCTCAACTCTTTGTAAATACCGTCCCTGTTACTTTGTAAGTGTATTTATGTTTAATTATTTTACTTTTACAAAATTGTACCTGCCATCGATATCGTCGATATCGACGATATCGTATCGATATCGAATCATGATTGTTAAAATATATTACTTCACCAACCTTCACCCTAATACAAAAATCTTTATTTTTAACATATTGCATAACAATAAGATCTGTTTCTTCATGCAACGCTTGTGCATATTTACTTTCTGATTAATTAGTTTACCCTACTGTCGATATCGTCGATATCGACGATATCGACAGTATCGATATCGAATCATGATTGTTAAAACATATTTAACAACTTTCACCCTCACCCAACATCATACTCTAAACCTAATCCAAAACAATAACAACCACTAACCCTTTCCTTATCATAATTTAATTTCATATTCATGCTAATAATGAATGAATTTAACATCACTTGTGACCTTGTAAAATTATGTTATACCTCACTGTGAAAATAAATTCTACAAATAGGATCGATATCGATACGATATCGTCACGGTATTGTCGATATCGACGACATCGACATAGCACAAAGTCTCATTTCTGGCACCAAGTATTTCAAATCAATAGTGCTCATCATGGTCGATATCGATACGATATCAACATAATATTGTCGATATCATCGATATCGACATCGAATTCGTTCTTGGACATGTATGGATATCTTGAACAATTTTGTTTATAAATTGTCTTCCTCTCACTTTAATTTTAGTAGTTTTAATATTTCCTAAACGCTCCTTTTTAACCAGCATATTCTTGAATATTTGTTTTCATATTGAGATTTGTAAATCATCCAGAGTTTCCGTTTTTTCAAAGGCAAGCAGACTATTCAAATTAGAATCTACATGCATTGATTTTAGTATTAAAACTGTAAATAAGTTATTTATTTATATTCTTGAATGAAACCAGATATGCTCATAGAGGACCGGCCGGTATATTGTTTTAGCAGTAGAGTAATCGATTTTGACTCAATTAATTAGACCTTCTTCAAGACTTGTTGTTTACATTCGTCACCCATTTACTTCAGAGATTCAAATATTTTTTTTAAGTCTGATGCAAGGAAAGTGTAGCTATTATGTGTCTGAGTGGACCAGCATAAATAAAAGATATCATGTCCATTATTTATACACTGAATTGACGACGGACTTTTCCGTTATTTCCCGATCATGACAAGGAGCACACGGCGGGTGTGACCGGTCAGCAGGGGATGCTCACTCCTCCTTGGCACCTGATCCCACCTCTGATGTTTCGGAGGTCCGTGTTTGCTCTGCTCCTGTTTTGTATTGTTTTATAGACTTTTGGTCTTGAGTACTGTTCGTTATCTCCATATCCTTCTGTATTAGAAAATAAAATTATAGAAGCTATAATGAACGTTGCTCATTACGTCTTTATCATAGCATTATATAAGATAAAATAGTAAAGTAAAATATTGAGATTCAATTTTTTTTTCATTTAAGAAATATAGGAATTCATTTACGATATTACTCTCTCTCATTCTCGACTTTAAGTTATTTAAGATAACTAGACAAGCAAAGGGATCCTTAAATGATTGATCTGCTCCTCTTTTGTATTGTTTCATGGACTTTGATATTGAATACTGTTCGTTATTTCTATATTCAGGAACATCTGTTTCATGTCTAGATATTTTACTAGACAAAAAGGTAACTTAATTCATGATCTTTTTATTAAACCTGACGAGTCTAACTTTGCAATTGTCAATTCCCCTTTACCTATGCAGCAAAATACGCTTATCACCGGCATATTGGGTTTGAAGATTTTAGTTGATTTGATATGTAAGACCATGCATTTCGTACGAGCGATTTCTAAAAGGAAGTTAGTTATTGACAAACACGTTGATTAAACAATGATATAAACATTGTCGTTTAAAGGTCATCATTTCACAAGTTCTATGGTCAATGCAATGCCATTGTCAGCAAATATAAAATATCATTAGGTAAAATGCTGATAGACTCTTTTCACACTAATAAGACCAATATTTACACAATGAACTGTCAACGAATTATCCCATGTTTTCGCAATCAATACAAGTAGCACAAGACAGGTAGGGGACGCTCTCTCCTTCTTGGCACCTGATGTTTTAGAGTCCCTGACTCTGATTTATGTTCTTTGAATGAACTTACAACTTGCACGAGTATAATACTGTAGAAGTACTTTTTTCCGCGTGGTATTAATTTACGCTATGTACGCGGTCACAAATTTTCCGCGGAAATTTGTCCCATCGAACTTAATATTAATATAAGGCATATATAGAGAGTCTTAAGATATCCGCGTAATTTTCTACCAGCGGATTGAACAGAAATAGAGATTCCGCGGAATTATGACCCCGTGGAAAAAAGTACATCTATAGTATTCGTTTTTCATATTTCTTAGTATCCACAATAATATTAACACGATAAAAAATTTCATAAGATTGTTGAATCATTTTCAATCTACTTTTAAACAAATCTATTATTAATTGTTGAAAACTATGGATCTGATTTACATGGTATATGACTAAAAATTGATAACATCCCACCAGTTTAATTCGGTTACTTAAATAAAAAAAAAATAAAATTATCATTCCATTCATTATATTTTCTCACTGGAATATAACACGTTGAATAATTATCTTTCACAAACTATACATTAATATTTGAAATTCCTACAGACCTTGTAAACATAACTAAAGATATTGAAAGAAAACACTAGAAATAATGTAGAATATTGTATTTTAGCAAATAATAAAGAATAATCTATCCAAGGACTTGGTGAAAAAAAGCAAAAGTGGACATAAGACTGAAAGAATATTCCATAAAGGAATGAAAGTAAGAATATCACACAAAATCAAGTTTTAATTTTTTCCTAACTTTCGATTTTCAGGAAATAATAGTTGATGTACTCTGTACCTATCGTGTTCGATGGGATGAAAATTTCAGAAGACGGTTTACTGCTTGAAACACTCTTACACCTATCTTCACCTATTCGAATAAATTCGATTTTAAGCAATGAGCAACTACCTTCATGAAAAATATAATTAACCTTTGCACAGTATGAGTGACTTTGTGTATAATTGCGTAAGACTGATACAAAACGAATCATAGTCTTAAGCTCGCTTTTATTGATATACTTCTTAATAAAGAAAAAATAATATCATTTCTGACCTCAAATCCATTTCCAAAACTGCAGAAATGATTCTATTCACGTTTCTCTATCCAATAATTGGATGACTGACAGCAATAGTTGACAAAAGATAACCAGAAAAAGTTGCATAAATACGATCTCTCTCTCCATAGAGGAAAGAGCCATGATGTTGAATATCCAGATACACCGTATCTCCGGCAACAAGCTCAAGAACTGCGGAGTTACCTCCAGGCCCAACATCTCCGATAATGGAACCATAGAGTGAGTTGACGTAAATATAGTTACGGTATAGCTCCATCCAAATGCTCTTTCCTTTCTGAGCCGTTGCATGGTAATGAAAAGCGTAGATTCCAGGTACTGTGGCAGTAAATATTCCTGTGTTAACATTAAAGTTTTGTCCAAGATTGACGAAAACTCTATTGAACACTACGTTTGGACTATCAGCTGCAGACTCCGAATGGGAAAGTCCGACAGAGAAAGCTATTTCATGCTGTGTATTTGAACCTTAAAGGAAAAGAAACAGAAAATGAAACTCTACGAATACTATCATACCCATAGTTCCAAATATACAAATGTATATTGTGTACCATTTTGATCTACATGCCTGAAAATAATAATTGTGAAATATGTAGCATTTTGTAAAATAATGAACATTTACAACCACAGAGACAAGAAATTAAGAAAAAAATCGTATTACACGCACCCTCTTCATGAAGGGATGGTGACAATAAGGCTCCACAGAAGGAGGCGTAATATTGTCCAGAAGCCCCATACAGCTTTACATCAGTTCCACGCCTAGTTTTGATCTTTACAGTGTCTGCTATATGAAGTCGAAGTACTACGGTATTACCGGAACTCGCATAAGACCCATTGGTATATCCGTATGATGACACAACGTATTGGTTGTTGTGAAACAGCTCAATCCATATGATCTTCAATGCAATTTGTCATGCATATATCATTTCTGACTTTAGGTTTGACATAATTTTACGTTGACATTATTCAGAAAATGAAAAAAGAGCATTAACTAGGAGAACTATATATAGATTGATTAAAATTATTAGTAATCTTCATATACTCGTATGTATGATAGGTTTTCATAGAAAGATCTGTATAACTCAAGGAGTCACTAAAAGCTTACGCTGTTTAAAGATGCCAGTGCATAGAAGTGGAAAACGTACGTTCCTTCAACAGGTGCTGTAAATGTTCCAGTGGTGGCATCATAGCCACTGCGTATGTTTGTAAGGATTTTGTCGTAAAGGACTACAGATCCGTCACTCTTGAAAGCATGTTTGGTCATAACTGCAGAAAATCCCACAGCACTATAGGTGGTGGCAATGTTAGGTTTTCCTAAAACAACGTTGAACGGCATTTAACCTTATAAGTGTCTCAAACATTGTTACTATATAGGCCTTCGTCTCGAGATACGAGGGACGTTCAATAAATAATGTCATCGGTTCTCGGAAAGAAACAAAAAACGCTTTTCTATGATTTAGTCTTAAAGATTAAACTAAAATTTTCTCTTTTAATTAAAACACATGTCTGTGACATTTGTATTCAATTTATAATTGTTGTAGAACACATTTTAAGTATGACCCTTCGTATACTGGAATATGGCAGATCCTACATT